GATAGATAGATAGATAGATAGATAGATAGATAGATAGATAGATAGATAGATAGATAGATAGATAGATAGATAGATAGATAGATGATAGATAGTTTGGGTAATGTTAAAACCCTACGTCATCAGCTTTTTATTAACTTTTATATTTCCTGCACCTCTTTGGTGATTACCCTAGCTGTGTGTATCAAATTTAATTTGTAGAGTATGTAAGGGTGATAAAACATTTCGAGTAGGAAGCTTTTTCAGTCTTTTGAAAATCAAATCAATCAAATGGTCAGCAGAGGGCACTGTCCATTAATCACTATGGTGCTACTTAAAATACGTCACCCCAGGAAACTTTCCCAAGGCTGATAAATATTCCCACAGTTCCATCTCTGTCTTTGTCTAAGCCACTTTGGCTGAGATGCCAACTGTGTGTGACCTTTAAGTCCCCGTTTCCTTAAAATCATGGGTACTTTTCTTTATATCGTTTCTATTTATAGATGACTATTTGCATTGTCACATCCACTTATGCTTTACCTTATGGTTATTTTTTTCAACCTGAGCTTTATAAATGTTAAAACCGGGGCAATCCTCACGAAACACAGGTGAATTCTGAATATATAACCTTACCTATTGTAGCAATGGGAAGGTATGAACTTAACAGGATAAAATATGCAGATATTTTAAACTGATAGGCACATTTTAAAAACGATATATCCCAAGTCTACTTATTGAACCGCTTAGGAAAAAATGTAGCGGTAGTGGAAATTGCCGGTAGCCCCCCCCTCCACCCCCCTAATCCCAGCTCTCTGTCATCCTATTTAGGCATGTTTTTGAGGTCGGGTGCATGCGCGGTGAACCATTGGTAACAAAATGTGAAACCCACCGCTGATTACAATGGTATCAGGGGTGGGTTTCAACCGGTTCGCGGCGGTTCCTGCGAACCGGTTGGTCGGCGAACCCGGAAGTAAGTAACTTCCGGGAACGGCGAAGGGCCCACCCGCCCGCACGCGCTCCTTACCCGGTTTTGACGAGTTCTGCGCTTCCACGCATGCACAGGACGCATACAGCCCCTGCGCGATCCTCCAGGAGCAGCTGGAGCATTGCACAGACGCTAGTATGCATGCGTGCGCCGCGCGCGTGCGCAAGGACACTGCCGGCCCCATTCCAACCAAACCGGTTGGAACGGGGCGAGAAACCCACCCCTGCTTGTGAGACAACTATCCCGACAAGTTTTCATATTGTATTAATACAA